ACTGGAATTTGCTAGAATAGCAAAATAGGTACAAATAAAGAATACTGACAATGTGGAAAATACACAGTGGGCAATTCCACTCAAAATATGACTAACATGGTTTAACATAATGAAGAACCAATGAATTGGTACATGATATTAAGTCATAAGAAGAAGAAAAAATATTGGATTAATGGAGTAATTTAGAGCAATGGTAAGAATTTGAACTATTCCATCAGAGTTACCATAGTAGTCATTAAATTTGGAAACGAAAGGAAGATATCATGAGAAACTTTCTGCGTATCTTAAATCTGTTTTTGACAGTGGTAGACAACCTGTATTCTCCATGGAGGGTTTAATCATATGCTCTTCCACTCTTGTTTATGAACTGGACTTACCATTGATGATATAGTCATAGTAGCAGGAGAACTGAGTCACAATCTTGTTCTACTTATATCACTGTAAATCTTGTAACAGCCTGAAGATTGTTTTGAAGTGTTACGTGACAATAAACATTGCCCTTCTCTCTTCACATGTTAATTTATTTTATTTCTAGGAGCTTTTTTGTTTGTTTTATAAATTTACCTGGGATGAATTTATAGGGAGTACAAAGTATCGACAAAACTAAGAAGACTTAAAAATTGGAAGTGGATAAGGTGATTTCTGTTTCTATTAATACATTTTTTCCTTCAAAATTTCCAAGATACAATATATTTCTGACATTTTATTAAACTGTGTTTTAAGCAGTTGGTGGCAAGCAAATAGTGGAAATTGAATTACTTTCTGTAAAGTCATTGATAATTCCCTGAAGCCTTTGTATGTATGATAAATAAGTGTCTGCTAATCTCTCGGTAGCTGATGATTGTAGATCTAGTTTGCTTGGGGAGAAAAAAATTTTATCTAAATCTGCTATATTGATATTGTTCTAGGGAAAAGGGCAAACAAAGAAATTATTTTCGTGGTCTCTACATTTTTAATTTGTTCACTTTGTATCTTCAAAAATTTCTTGGAAAATACATGTTGTAAAAATGCATGAAAAATGAGTTTTAACCAAAATGATCTTTTCATTTTATACTAATCTTTAATTCCATTTTGTACTGACTTAAAAAACAAAACATTCATTTATTTGAACAACACATTGAGCTAGAGGAAGGGAGAGAAAGAGAGAGCTTCCACCTGCTGGTTCACTCCACAAATGGCCAGAACAGGAAGGTTTGGGGTAGGCTGAAGCTAAGAACAAATAACTCCACTCTGGTCTCTCATATGAAAAGCAGGAACCCAACTACTGGGGTACCGTTTCCTGCATCTTCAAACAAATTATCAGAAAGCAAGATCAGAAGCAGAGCAGCCAATACTTCAACTAGCCTGCTAATATGGGATGCTGGATTCAAAAGCAGCAGCTTAACCTTCTTCACAATAATTCTAGATCATGTTTTTCCTTAACTTTTCAAATTCATTCTTGATTTATTAATGATATCTATTATTCACATAGCAAGAGTATACAATTTTAAGGATTTTTTAAAAGTGTTGCTCTAGTTTATAAGTCTATGATACTAATCAAAGAACATCATGTGTGATAAACGATATACTAATCTTGGCTAGATTTTCTCTCACCCCCCCAATAGGTTAGTATAACATTAGGTTATTGGGAATATTAATAATAGCTTGACTCATTTTATATCTGCTTAGCTGGTGCAGTGCTGAGAACTTTAATCTGTGATGCATTTCACTTATTGGTGAATAATCTAGACACATGTAGTATTGTTTAAATTCATAAAAGTTTAGTTGTGTTCCTAGAGATTGAGAAGATAAATGGCACAGTGAAACTGTCTTCTTATATTTTTCCTCTCTGATAATAATTAAACGCTTAGTTTATCTTTCACATTTAACTATGATCTTTTGATATTCACAAACTGCTGTTTCTACAGCATCCTTGTACCATTATGTAATTACTTAGTTTCTACATATTTTGTGAATAAGTTTTTCAACTGATCCCAATTCTCCGTACGGTAAGGACAGCAAAAGAAAAAAAAATTCAGTCCATTAAAACTATGGATGTAATCAGCCTCACAAAATAAATAACAGCATGACAGAAATAATAGCAAGACAGCAATGTTTGCCTTTTCCTGAAAAGAATGAAGAAACTACTTGAATGCTCTGGAATTAACTAGAATAATAATGAATAGATGTTTAAGCAATTAATCACTTCAGTGCTGAGCTGGTTAATGCAAAGTTCAGATTTCTCCCCTAATGGACCCATCATAGTTAACGTGTATATAATATATATAACATATATATTATATATATACATACATATATTTGTATGTATCTCCAATGTCTATGTATATAATATATATGTGTATATCGTATAAGTATTTATATGTAGACTTTTTTTAGACTTTTTTTTTCCAAAGTGAATTATTACTCTGGCAGTTTCAAATACTAGAGGTTCAAAGCTGTAATTAAGAGGATAGTCCAAAAAAACAAACTATTATACACAACAAAATGTCAGTGTCATTAATAAACGTAGCATTTAACTATTTCCATTGATGTCCAAAGAATTAAGTTTGACCACTGGGATCACATCGGGATAGCAGAGGACATCACCAGGGCACAGACCGCCATCACGTTAAGAACCAAATAGAAACGAGGCAACTGTGGTAGAGGTAAAGACACGAGTCAGCTCATGAAACCCCATTCTTGCAGTGTCTGTGAAATTATTACAGTTAACATAAAATCAACCCTGATAGAAAAAGATGAAACGGCAAAGTTCTCACAAATGATCCCTTATCACTCCATTCTGAAATGTATTCAGCATTCATTATAGATTGAAATGCCACTCAAATTTCATCATTTAGTAGGATTTTGAAACAGCAAACCATTAACAGAGGAGAGTAGCTTTTTATATTTATACAGCCAGTGACTAATGAAACATTACACTCAGTGTGCAAAAGGGAAAATTTATTTTGTAATGAACCCAATTGGACCCCTTTTTAAACATAGTGTACTATCGTTATGCAGTTTAACTGAGCCTCTCATTACTTGTGTCAATAATTCTAGGTAAACCACTGTTGAACTTCACAGCATTTACCTAGCAGCATGAGTAGCATTAATCTATGGGGTGCTTTTGATGGAGTCCAGAAAGCAAAGCCAAAAATGGCTTCTTACAAAGTGCTTAGAAAAGTATTAGAAATATGCCAACTGCCAACTATCTAAAGGTAACCTTGCCTATTTAGGAAACCATGCTGTTGGGTCGCTTGCAAACACTGGGAAAGCATATGAATTTTCCCTTGTAGAATGACTTAAAAAAACACATGCATACTTTTCATCTTTGTGATCATTTTTTTTTCTGTCACATTCTAATTTTCTATATATTTCTGGCATATTGCTTTCAGCACAATGCGACATGCTATGCAACAAGGCCCCAGGTTCTCAGAAACCACTGGGTAAGAGGAGCATTTAGAAAATTAAGGGTCAGTCAGATAGAGTATATGTAACCACATGGCTGCATGATGTAAACATCAGGTACCACAATGAGAAGATTCCTCTTGAATCCTGCTCTAAAGATCTAGCTTATCTTCTTCACACACTACTGGCAGGTTCAGTTTTTTTGGCAGTATGGCTGGAAGGATTTACTTACAAAAAATTCAAATTTAGCTCTAATGATGTTACATCGATGCAATCTAACTTGATCAGCTCCATTTTTTCCCAAAGTTGATTCTTGCATACTTCATAAGATTAATTAAACTTCTAGTTCTAGTGAAAGCTGTACCATGTAGAGATGTTGCTAGGTTCAGAATTTATTCATGAGGAGGTGTCATCTCCTAACATAATAACATGATACTAATTCTTTAGACAGATTGTATACATTAAAATAATTTGAAAATAGGAGCACTATATGGGTATTCTGTGTTTTCTCTAATTTTCTGAACATTGATGCAAATAAAATTTTGAAGAAAATAGCAATTATTGAGTAATTGTGTCACCGATTTTAAGCTAAATTGGACTCAATAAAGTTGATCAGTTAGTTAATTAAACTGAAATTTTCAAAATAGATTTGACTTCTAAAATACTCTATTTTTAAATGTATGGAGTTATTTATATTTCTTATGTATTCTAACGATTGGATTCATGGTGGTGACTTTAAATCGATATAGTTTCTCAATGATTCTGAAAATTATTTGGGATTATTTTATTGTGCTTTAACCACACTTGTCCTAAATTTTACAATACTATATAAAATACAATACTACTTCCATAATAATTTTTCTTGATGAAATATAGGAGAAAAAGTGTGTAATATTTTCTAACTGTTCTTAGGGGGTCACAATGCTCCCCGACATAAAAAGGAAGCCCTGTAAAGTACTGAAATTAAAAAGCTGCCTAATTATATTATTGTAATACCTAACAATTTCATAAAAACTCTATTCCATCTAACATCAAAACAAAGCTACATTATGAAAAAGCCATAGCAGAATTTGGATGCAGGGAAAAGCAGAGATCTCTCTTTCTGTCATTTTGCTGTTTTGTTATAATGCAAGAAAAATATCTAGGAATTTCAAATTATGGCTTACAAGAAATCAATAGTTATAGTTAGTATTATACACTTTTGTCTCTGCTACATCTCATAGAGATACTTTCCTTGTGCAATGAGTTATTGTAATAATTAAGGATATTTTTATGATAATATAGCCAAAGATAGCTGAAGTAAAATATTACAGATAAAAAATAAATCCATTCAGTTTTAATAATTCCAGGTAGTCATTAACATAAATTTACTAGTCACCTTCAGAAGTTAAAAAATATATATTGCAGAACTAATTTTATTTATAGTAAATGTTATAATTTTATCTGATTAGGCACTGAATGTATTATTTATAGATTTTGGGATTGTTCGAACTTAAGGGAAGTTCTGGAAGAAAGGAATGACTTCATTTTATTTTTTTTAAAGATTTGAGCAACTGTAAACAGTAATTTTACATCTTTTCCATTTTTCACATATGTTTTCCAAATGTACTCACCATGCACAATGAGAACATACTCTGCACTGCTTTGCCCAATGGTGTTCGTGGCTTCACATCGGTATGTGCCATTATCAGTTTTGTTCAGGAACAGAATGTTGAGCTCCCTACCACTCACAACCATTCGGTCAGGATCTGGTAATTCTCCTCCATCCTTTGTCCACAAAACAGGCTCTGGCCTATTAGATTCAAACATGCATAGAGAAGGGGAAAAAACATTAAAATGCTACATAATCTGTAAAGTAAGAACGCAAGCAACATATAAACGCCTAATATTGAGCTATCTTCTAGGGTCACAAAGAATCATCATGAATTCACTTAAAAGCTGGAGGAATACCAAACGCAGTTTAATGTTATTCCACTTAATTAGGAGGACATATAGTGATGAGCTAATTCATTGAGTTCTTGTAGTAACCAGTGCTGGTGCATTGACACAGCATTCTATGTGGCTCGGATCCTGCAGCAGACAACTTGAAGCTCCTCTTAGAGGACTGCCCTTGGGCTCCTTATCAAGTCTTCCCCAGAGATATCAAAAATTACTCCTTTGCATTTAGAGCTACCATGTTGCTCTTTTTCCAGAAATCCCTTTATTTTGCCTATTTTATCTCTCTTGCTTTCTCCATTCCACTCGGTTTTTTTTTTCCTAAGATTCTTTTCCAAAACAGATCATGTAGAATGGAAATGGGTTATAGAAGACTCAGCTGATGTGCTTTAAGGATCTAATGTCTCCTAAGAAAAATCCCCAGAAACCATTAGGAGACTAGAGGTGAATGGCAATAGTAAGTAAGAGGAAATGGTATATTGTTTATTTTTTTCCTATTTCTTCAGAGACAGAAAGCAGAGAAAGAAACATTATTTTAGTGCAACTGTAAACAAGAGCTTTCTGAATGGCCATTGTTTGATCTAAAAAACGATTCAGGAACTGGATACGCAATGTTTTAAAAAATCTGTAAATCTATATCACTAACTTATAAAAAGAACTCACTTTCATTGTCTTATTAGTAAAAGCCAATCCATTCATATATTTACAGTTTGTTTGCTATAACTCGTATCTGTTAACTACTATCTGATTTACTAATCTTCATAATATCCTAGGTAACCTTACATTATGTACATGTTAACTCCCTTAAAGGAACACAGCAAGTGAAATAAAATTATAACTTTAGCACAACTGAAATAGAAGAAATTTCATTTTTTTTCTACAGAGCCATAAAAAGCTAATGTTAAAATAACTGTTACAAGAAGGATAACTTACATTGTAAAACATTAATCTGTATAATACAGAAATATCCATAATACAAAGGACAATATTTCCTCACTGACAGCTTGAACTTTTTAGACACACACACACATATATATGTATCTGCATATTTTGATATACAAGAATTTTCTGAAATTCAGTGTTAGGGTTTTTCTCTACATAAGCTTTCAGTCACATCTGAATGCTCATGGCTCTGAAAGTAAATAAACAAATTTGTAAATACATTTTAAAAATTTGTATACAAATTTACTTGAAGAACCAAATAAATCATTTCAGTAACTTGTACCTGAGTATTTTTCCCCTTAAAAGAGCCTCTCTTTCAGGAAATGATAAAAAACAAAATCCTACAAAACTGGCTCCTAATGCTACTGTGTGGTAAATCTTTCAGGTCGCAACCGTTAGCACCCAAAGATGTGATTTGGATGAAATGGAGGTTAGAGTTCATGCATAGATTAAAAATAACCTATACATATTTTCAATTATTGTTTAAAATGTTCAAACTTCTTAATATCACCGTAAAAAACATTAAATGGTTTAGCAGATCTTGATTCGATTTGTGTTTCATCTTAATAAAGAGGGCCCCTAGGCTTTCTCTAATTGGAATCCAGAAATGATTGAGCTTCTTGCTGCAAACGAATAACAATCTTCCTTGCTGTGCAGCCAGGCAAAAGAGATAGTTCTAAACGTGATTCCAGTATAGAATTCTTAGGTGATAAGGCCGCCAAAGAGTGTGGGATAGCCAGTGGAAATAACAGGACCACAGAGGCAGCCTAAGCTATAATACGATACCACTGCAAACTCAATCAGAATGCTGTCAATCCAGGAAAGCCTCCTTTAAATCTAAACAATCAGAAGATGAAAATGTGCCATATGGAATGGAACTTGATTTTGTTTGTATCAATTTTATATAGCTAAAAACTTATCTTATTTTTCTATGCATCTGAAAGCTTATTCTCAAAGTGTTCTTCCCAGAAAAAAATAATAAAAATAAAACGAGCATCAAATATACTCATACATTGACCTTCATGTATTCCAAGCTCTTGATGAAATCTCAAAAATATGAAATTTTTCTAAAACATTCTATTAACCCACTGTCTTCTTTCTTTTTCTTTTTCTTTCTTTCTTTTTTTCTTTCTCTCTTTCTTTTCTTTCTTTTCTTCCTCCCTTCCTTCCTTTTCTCCTTTCCTCTCCTCTCCTCTCCTCTCCTTTCCTTTCCTTCCTTTCTCATTGCCCCCCAAGGATGTGTTTATTTGTTTTGAAAATCAGAGTTATAACAAAACAGAAATTGCAAATGAGTAAACTAGTGTTGACTGAATCTCCAGATGGCCATATTGGTCAAGCCACAACCAGGAGCCAGAAGTTTCTTCCAGCTATTAAACATGATGACAGGGGCAAAGCACTTGCTCTTTCTGGTGTTTTACACAGGTCATTACCAGGAAGCTGGATCAGAAGTGGAGCAGCCAGGATATAAGCTGGTGCATTTAGGAAGTTCCAGCATCATAAGTGACAGCTTAAATTGCTATACCATAACAGCAACCTCAGTATTCTGCATTTGCTTACCTTGTTGCTTATTGATAAATTAGTGTTGGGAAAATGGACACAGCTCATATTAGATTAATCTCTCTCTTTCTTTTGCTATTTCTCTTGCATTTCCTTTAATATGCCTATCTCTATGTACATATGGATGAGAATCAAGATGGCAGATTACGGTGAGGACAGTCTTAGCAGACAGAGAAACATTACCCAGGGTCAAGCAGAAAGAACACATTCTTTTGGGTCAATAGATATGGTGCAGTATGTATCTCTACTTCCAGATTGAGGATGGATTACCATTGAAACTGTAGGATGTATGTTGCCAATGAGATGCTGGATTCTGGGCCACTGTCCATGCTCACAATGATGGACTTACAACTGTTTACAAGGAACTATACTGTTGGAATAATATGGGAAAACTCAAGCCAGGGGGTGGAGGTGGAAATCTATGTCTTACATTTGATATAATTTAAGGTAAAATATGGAATTACATTTAGTAAATGTATGCCTTATGAAGCATGTAACCACATGAAAACATAAACTGGCTTTATTCCAATTTAAAAATTCCACAAGTGAACAATAGATGCCATTGAAGCTTAGATTACAAGAAATATCATTTTTAAATCTAGTTCCTCTCTATTACCTGTGATATTTTTGTTGTTGTTGTAGAATGAAAAAACGTAGCAGGAGTTCTTGAAACACCCTACTGTGTTTTTAGGTTTTAGCAAAAAAGTTTCTAGTTTTTATTTTTATTTTTCCATTTTGCAGTTTTGTAAATAGAGGGATTCCTTTCTCCCCCTTTCTGACATGACTCCCATTTCCCCCTCACCATTTTCTCCATGTAATTGTGGTGCTATTGTCCTTTAGTAACATTTAAGGTGCCACCTATGATGGTAGTGCCTTGCTTGAGTGCTAGTTCTTGTCCAGGTTATTCCATTTTTGATCCAGATTTTTGACCTGGGAAAGCAGTGGAGGAAGGCACAAGTCCTTGGGCACCCACCATCCATTTATAATATCCAGATGGGGTTCCAGGCTACTGTCTTCAACCAGGCCCAGAACTGGCAGTCATAGCAGATGAAGTCTCTTGCTTCCCTCTCTCTCTCCTCATTCTTCCCATTCTCTAAATACATTATTTAAAATATATAGTACCAATTAAAACATGAAGAAATAGCATTCTTGTCATTATTAAGTTGACTCAAATTTCAACTCTCTTTTGACACTCTGTTGGACTATTATAGTGTGGTTGCCAAACAGAAAGAATTGGGGAAGAATTATTTTGGGGTCTATTTACTGCATTGATCAAATTCTTTTAAAAATACACCAACAGATATTATCAAGGGACATATGAGTGTTTATGAATACAATATCTACATAATATCCCACATGTATGAAGAATCATACTTTTACTTAATGTGAAAATATTTCTGCTGTTCCTTAGAGTATACATCAGGTAGTGAGGGTTTGTTGTTGTTGTTGTTTGTTTGTTTCATTTTGTTTTTACATAGAGTTGATTTTCTTGCAATTTAATTGTTGGAACAGATTGAAATTTGTTTTCCCTCTATTCTTGATAATTTCAAGCATGTTATGAGAGCAATTCTTAAGGCATCATAATAAAGTTTATTATCAATTTGATTTAGGTTCATTTTAAATTGTAGAGAATAAATATTTATGTGTCTGATAGATTTTGTAGATATATGGTCAATGAAACAGAGAATGTCAAATACGTTGTAAAACAGCCTTCAGTGGACTCAATATATTTAATTAAACAAAACGTGCTACTCTCATACCTTTATCTTAATACAAATAAGAGATCAATTATCAAGTAAATCTATTTTTAAAATTGGCCTAAGTTTTTGAAAGAAGTATATTGAGGGACATAAAATCGAAACAAATAACTACTCCATGATATTCTATTTTAGCAGGTTACAGAAGACTTATGTCATCAGCAATAATATATCGCAGGACATGGAAAGTGACATAAAGGAGATATAAAACATCATGAAGATTCATCACCTATATTAGGAACTGTATAATAAGCTTTATGAAAAATATGTCTTGAATGATGTCTTTAATTATGGTAGAATTGTAGTAAGTAGAAATAGAAGATATCACTCAAATGAGGTCCTGAATAGGCTGCTTAACCTTCAAGGTCTTAGTGTTGAAAAGATGACTTGAAATATGGTGTATGAGAAGTGAGCATTTGGTACAGAGGTCAAATCGCCCCTGGGACATCCACATCCTGTATCATGATGACCAGATGGAAGTCCTGGCTTCTCCACTTTGAACAAGCTTTCTGTAAATATGTATCCTGAGCTATAGATGATGACTTAAAAACTTGACTCCTTAATCCCAAATGAGGCTTAAATTGAATTCTGACTTCTTGTC